TCCTTCAGCAACTCACTTGTCCATATACTCCTGAGCAAAATGGTGTTGCTGAGAGGAAAAATAGGAGTTTGATAGGGATGGTACGTTGTCTGCTTAGAGGCATGAGGGTACCAAAATCTTATTGGCATTTTGCTGTTTTGACTTCTACCTTTCTGTGCAATCGTACGCCGAGTCGTGTTCTTCAGCATAAGGCTCCCTTACAGGTCTTATTTCCTGAGCGGACATTTTTTCCGGTCTCCTACTCGTCATAAACTCGATAATAAAGCGATTCGTTGTATCTTTGTGGGCTATTGTCATCAATCTAAGAGGTATCGNCTACCTTTCTGTGCAATCGTACGCCGAGTCGTGTTCTTTAGCATAAGGCTCCCTTATAGGTCTTATTTCCTGAGCGGACACTTTTTCCGGTCCCCCCTCGTATTTTTGGATGCACATGTTTTGTTCAAAATCGGTCTCCTACTCGTCATAAACTTGATGATAAAGCGATTCGTTGTATCTTTGTGGGCTATTGTCATCAATCTAAGGGGTATCGATGTTATGATCCTATTAGGCGTCGTATGTATCACAGTCTAGATGTTACCTTTCTTGAGCATATTCCTTATTTTCCTTTCAGTCCTTTGTCTGCCCCTCCAGTTGATGATACTCCCTTTGACTTCCCATTACCACAAGAGTCAGAGTCATTGATCACTATCCCTACAGGGTCATCCGTTTTTCCTCCCAAGGAGTCACTCATCCCTGTCAGTACAGAGTTACCAGTCTCTCTTCCTTTGCAGGTGTATGCTCGTTGTCCTCGCTCTCATCACCCTGCTGATATCCCCTCTACCTCAGGCGATGCAGGTAATACTTCTCAGTTTGTTGAGCATATTGATGCACCTGTTGTTAGTACTGATGAGATTACAGGTGCTGACTCAGTTACTTTACCTGATAAGATATTATCAGTAGAGGATGGTGATTTAGGGCGTCGTTATCCAAGGCGTGATCGCCGTCCAGTTGATCGATATGGTTGGACCGCCAAGATTTTATATCCGATCTCTGCTTATGTTTCTTATGGTAATCTGTCTCCCACATTTCGAGCTTATACTATGGCCTTATCAGATACGCTGGTTCCTCGCTCTATTTCGGAAGCTATGCGGGAGCCCCAGTGGGTTCTTGCCATGCAGACAGAGATGGACGCTCTTCAGCGTAATCATACATGGGATCTTGTCTCCTTACCTTCAGGGGTGAAGCCTGTTGGCTGTCGCTGGGTTTACACCCTGAAGTTTCTTGCGGATGGTACTATTGATCGTTACAAGGCTAGACTTGTGGCGAAGGGCTTTACTCAGGTACCAGGTCGTGACTTTGGTGCTACATTTGCCCCCGTGGCAAAATTGACTACTGTTCGGTTAATTATTTCTCTGGCTGCGGAGTACTCTTGGCCTCTTCATCAATTAGATGTGAAGAATGCGTTTCTTCACGGTGATCTGGACGAGATTATTTATATGGATGCACCACCGGGCTTTCGTGGTGAGGGGGAGTATGCTGGAAAGGTATGTCGACTGCGTAAGTCTCTTTATGGACTGAAACAGTCGCCACGAGCCTGGTTCTCTCGCTTCAGTGATGTAGTCATACGATTGGGGTTCACCAGGTGTCATTCTGATCATACCTGCTTTATTCGACGGAATACTTCTGGACAGTGTGTCATCCTTCTGGTATATGTTGATGATATTATTATTACTGGTGATGATGTTTCTGGGACTGCGCAGGTCAAGATAGACCTTGGGAAGGCCTTCGATGTGAAGGATCTTGGATTTCTGCGATACTTTCTTGGGATTGAGGTTGCCCGTAGAAGCAGAGGTATTGTTCTTTCTCAGAGAAAGTATGTTTTGGATCTTCTTTCAGACACTGGGATGTTGGGGTGCAAACCGGCATCATCACCTATGATTCCAAACCTGAAGCTTACTGCTGAAGGTGAGGAGTTGAAAGATCCGACAGTTTATCAAAGATTGGTAGGTAGACTTATCTACTTAGCCAATACTAGGCCGGACATTTCATTCGCAGTCAGCCGAGTTAGTCAGTTCATGCATAGGCCATGTCAGCCTCATCTTGATGCAGTTTATCATATTCTTCGGTACCTCAAGTCTTGTCCTGGACTTGGGTTATTTTATGCATCAGGATCTCAGACCGGTTCTCTAGCCTGTTATTCAGATTCAGATTATGGGGGAGCATGTGATGGTCGATCTACTACGGGTTTCTGTGCTTTTCGAGGGACTCATCTTATCTCTTGGAAGAGCAAGAAGCAGGCAGTTGTCTCCCGCTCGTCCGCAGAGGCAGAGTATCGGGCATTGGCACTTGGCACATGTGAGATTATCTGGCTACGATCGATTCTTGACGAGTTGGGTTTTTCAGTGACCTCTCCATCCACATTATATTGTGATAATCAATCTGCTATTCAGCTCGCTTCTGACTCTGTACTACATGAGAGAACGAAGCATATAGAGATCGATGTTCACTTTCTTCGGGAGAAGGTCAGCAGTGGTCTTGTTACTCCATCGTTTGTGGGGACCAGTGATCAAGTTGCGGATGTTTTTACCAAACCTGTCACTCTGTCTATTCTTCGGGACTCCGTTGTCAAGCTTGGCTTAGTTGACTTTTTTGCGCCTACCTTGAGGAGGAGTGTTGGAGTATAGATAGTCTAGATTTATTAGGATTTCTTTTCCCTTTTTTACCCTTACTAAGATTTTTATATTTTGCCTAAACTACAAGGGTGTTTAAGTCACTCTGTATTATTTTTGGATATATATACGGGGCTCTACTCTTAATTTGAGTATCCCTTTTCACTTACATTTATTCCAAGTTAATGAAAGAAATCAATGCATGAAAACTTCAAAAATACAAAGAAAATAAAAAGACAGAGTGAGGAAGGAGAAAACCTTGTTCTTGTGTTGTGGCCACATCCATGGTAAGAAGAAAAGGTCAAGAAAATGAAAATCCTGCAAGTTGTAGAAAGATAAGAAAGAACAAATATGTTGAAGTCTTGAAACAATCAAATCCAAATCAGAACAATGCATCACCCAATAATTATAGTAAAAATCAATATAAAGCAAGCAAGGTTATAGAGAGAACAAAAGAAAATTATATGAAGAGCTTAACACAAAAATCCAAATCAGAACAATGCATCACCCAAAAATTATGTGCTTACAACTAGTATGTGTTACTGTAGATCTGTTGATTGCTTTTGAAACTTATGTGTTATTGTTTTGATTCCCTACTGTACGACTAACAGCAAACTGAGGAATCTCAAGAAGGGATTGCAAGAAAACAAAGCGACCCCTCTCTTGGACAGGCTGGTTTTTTACAAGGTCTGAAGATTTTCTCAACATTTACGTTGTAGCTTTTCTCTGTTTCTATTTAACAACGTTCATTTCATATACTTGAGATAATTGTAAGTGAAAGGGATACAAACTAAATGTAGAGTCCCGTATATATAGTCAATGAAAGTTACAATAAGGACAAAAAGATAAAAAAAGAAAACTTAATAAACCCTAATAAATTAGGCTGCTATATCTCCAACACTCCCCTTCAAGTTAGGCACAAAAGTGTCAACGGAGTCTCAAAGAATAGATAGAGTGACATGTTTGGTAAAAACATTCGCAACCTGATCATTGGTCCCCACAAACGATGGAGTACCAATACTACTGCTAACCTTTTCCCGAAGAAATTGAACATCGATCTCTATATGCTTCGTTCTCTCGTGTAATATAGAGTTAGAAGTAAGCTGAATAGCAGATCGATTATTAAAATATAATGTAGATGAAGAAGTCACTAGAAATTCCAACTCGCTAAGAATCGATCGTAGCCAGATACTCTCACATTATCAAGTGTCAATGCCTGATACTCTGCCTCTGCTGAGTAGCGAGAGACAACTAACTGCTTCTTGTTCTTCCAAAAGATAAGATGAATCACTCGAAAAACACAGAAGCCTGTAGTAGATCGATCGTCACATGCTCCCCCATAATCTGAATTTGAATAATATGCTAGAGAACCAATTTGAGATCCTGATGCATAGAACAACCCAATTCCAGGACATATAGATAGTGAATCTGTTGCATTAAGGTCAAATCAACAGATAAGAGGATTCAACCCCTCTTAAAATGTTGGAAAAAGAAGGTACAATGAAGCAAAGGGGTCAAAGGTGTGACAGCAGTGTTTGAACCTGATATGCAGACTGCTGGCGTCATAGTTCATTCTTCTTGTTTTTCAAGAACAGATTAAGCAGTGCTATTACTGATTACTTGGGTCATATAAAATATGATACACATTCTGAGCAACTCCCAATGCTCTTTTTTTTTTCTTCTTCTTCAAGATCTTGTATAGATGAAAGTAATGCAAGTTCTGCAACTAAATTGGAGGATTCTGTGGCCAGAAATTCTACGTTAGCATTAATATTTTCTTCGCAATTATCTCTTAAATGTAATAAATTACTTGGCAGTCATGCTAAACTGAAAAATAAAAACAACTCCCACCACGAGCTTATCTCGGGTGGCAAACGCCCCTCATCTCCAAAGAGGAATGACAGGAGTTGAGGCAAGGACTGCCCTTGGCAGGTTTAGAACCTGAATTCAATCGTCTTAGTCATTCAGCTCTTATTTCCATTTCTTTTCTCACAGGCGTTCAGTTCCCTTCCCTTTCGAGCCTATCCCCAACGAGTCAGGATTGTTCAGAAGTTCAATTAAAATGGAGGAAAAAAAAAACCTTCTCCAATGGAGCAGAGCAACCATGAGAGAGATGGGAGCTCTACACACAGAAATTATTCAGTAAACAAGACAGAACAGTTGGAGTACTATTAGTTCATCCAGCTAAGCTATGAGTTCTGCTCATGTTCCAGCTTGGCGAGTGGTTATCGATTCAAGCTTTTAGGTTTCTCAAGTAAAACAGATGCTTATGCAATACATAATTGTATCAAACACTAGGTCCCAAGGATCTGATCCAAAGAAAACAGACTGATTTATAAGAAGAAATACAAATTACACAATCCAGCTGACAAACCAAATAGTAATATAGATGGTGTAAGGTTCAGATTTGCAAATTGAAAACAATCCAGAAGCTGCACTAGTAATGGTGCCTATAGGATGTAAAGTATCAGCCCCCATACTGGATAGACCAACAGAAGGATTATGCCAACAGTATTCGAAATGCCATTGGTTTTTGTAAAGGAATTTCTGAAACCACCAGATGCTCGGATGTGTTCTTGCAGCAAATAACACCCGATGACAAGACATATCCCAAGACCAATCCAGTTGCCCCTCACAGTGTCGGCCAAAAAGCCGGGTGACACCACCATGAGAAGAATCAATGCGGCTGGCAGTTCTAGCCANGGTATCCAATAGTCAAATCCTGTACGACCTTCAATTTTACTGGTGGCATAACGAGATGCACCAATAGAATATCCAAGAATTTTTTGAAGACCAAGTTACAACCTTTGGGAGGTTTGATTGATCCTAACATCTTAGGATTTCATGATTGATCGCAAATGTTTAAGATCGATCACAAAAAATCCCATAAATTGTAAATGACCCCCAAAATATGTTCAAAAAATCTTAAAAAATTGTATATGATCATTCCACCATAGCATTCTCCACATATAAATCATCAGTCATAAAGCATCTCTTCTTTAAAAGCATTTTATATTAGCACTAACAATCCATTTGATAATCCTCAACAAATCTTGGTAGATTTATACATCCAAGTTCATTTGCCACAACATTCACACACACACAGTCTATTTACTGAACTAAATGTTGTGAACTAAAGATGAAATTATTTCCTCAAATTACCACATAAAAAAGTTGAGAGAGAGAGAGAAGTTACATTGCAGCAACTGAAACCACCCATTGAAGGAAAGAAGTCCCAAATCCAAGCCCACCAAGCTTAATCGCATGGTTAGCCAGTTTCTTGGCAGCGTTGCCAAGATCCTTCAAATCGGAAGTGATCAATTCTTCTGTTGCCGAAGCATCAGTCTTCATCGCCAAATAATTTTTATTCCCCATCACTCTGTCTAACAATCTCAACGCTAACTCTCAAATATGTAAAGAAATCCTTCAAGATTAAACATATATAACAACCGTATATGTATAGCTACATAGAGAGAGAGATAAAAAAAAAGAAGCTTCCTAACTCTATGGAGTGGCCGGGAAGTCGGTACTGTCCTCAAATTTATTATTATTCGAGGTTAGCTTAAAATTTTTTTGGGTTGTAAATTACAATTTTTAAAAGTTATGAATAGAATTAATACTAAAATTATAATTTTTAAAAATTAAGTTATAATTCATAAATAAGAAATTACGTTTACACGTAGAAAATTTATAATTGACCATGTGTATAAATGATTCTTTTAAACACATGTAATTTATTTTTTATAAATTTTGACTTTATCATAAAAATAATAACTAACGGTACAAAACAGATGTCGGAACCATAAAATCATCCCACTTGTTTCGGTAGCTCTGAGAATTTGCCACGTGGATCCAATAATGGGAATTTCATTTTCCTAACAACTGTTGATAGCTGTCCGGCTGGCCGACCTCTTGGATTTTCCTTTTTTATTTGGGATATATTATTTTTTTTTTTATAATTTGGTTTATGCCACGTTATTATTCCTATCTTTTATACTCAACTGAGTCATCTTCCCCATCTTAGTCTCACTTATCCACTTGTCCACTTGGGTTTCATCATATCTTGGATCTGGATTAGGACCTGTCATCTCTTTATTTATTCATGTTGGGTCTAAATTATTATTCCCATTTTCTGAAACAACTAAATTTCAACATCTAACAATTGTGTCCACTTGAATTCATGTTAGTTCATTTATTGATGATAAGTGCCAAAGTAATGTAATCATTATCTAACCCATGCAAAAGTAAACACAAATTCAACAATTTCATACTAATTTTACATCACAATCGTGTTAAGAACAATCAACCTTAATTTTTTTACCGTATAAAAGATGCGTTTATCAACGAGATGACAAATTGGAGAAACTAGTGATCAACACAACTCAAAAATATATATATATATATATACTAGTTATTGTTTGTACCTGAAGGCACTATGTAATAAACAAAAAATCAGAAATAATTACCGTATATGAAAGCTTTTTATAACAGAAAGTCATTGGTGACAATAAATGAAAAAAGGCATAGACGACTTAACAATAAACTAAGTCCTCGCAATCCCAAAAAAAAAAAAAATCCTCACAATATACTAACTATACTTAATGGTCAAGTATATTTGTTTTCTACATATTATGGAACAATGCATTGCTCAATAAAAAAAAATGAAAAAGACACCCATAACTTCCATCTTTAATTTTTTTAACTTTGGCATCAATTGATTTAAGTTCTAACAAAACACAAAATTTAGCAGTACCAAATATTCAACTTATATATTGATCAATGAATGACAAATAGATAATCGAACACAATAAACTCTCTTTGGATCATCTACCATAATAATCTACATTTTAAAGTCAACAAAATTCATAGACCTACATTCTCAAAACCAATACTATATTAAGTTACATACCCCAGAACAAATCACATTAATCTCTCCCAAAATAAAAACCATTTCCATAAATCTCACTCATAGAAAATATTCTTAAATTCAATAATTCAAAATTTCCAATTCAAACCTAGAAATACTTGTCCATTAACATAAGTGGACATTTCAAATGTGGAGATCATATACTCCAAAGGAAATAAATAATTTTCTTATTCCCTTGATTAATTAATAATGAGACACAATCAACAAAAATGTAAATGAACATGTGTATATACCAACAATCCTAAACCCCTTCGATTTCTTTTTCTCCCGATTAATAATTTAATTATGCCTAGAATTTTCCATCACAAAAAAGTTCAACTTTATACACAAAGGCCCAAGGAAATAATTGGTTGTGATGCATTCCTAACCACAGTTTTGCTCAGAAAAATACGGGGACAATATCAGATAAGAAAAAAAAAAGAGAAAAGAGAACACGAATCCTAGTGTCGGTCAAACAAAGACATCAACTAATTAGAAGAGCAAATAAAGTCTGCAAATCAAAATAATAAAGATCAAAACAAAAATTAAAAAACGTGTACACAGAATGATCATTGGTTATAAACATCCATGTAGGCACAATGCCTTTATGATGAATGGTAGTTCTTAAGTTGCATAACCTCTCCACAATTAGGAAACCCAATAACTAAGAGCCAATTGAAAATCTACAACATAACAGTGATGGTATTTTCATTTTGAGGGCACAAAAAAAAAGTTTATAATGGATTTTTTTTCTCAGAAGGTCAATATTCTAAGATAGGTATCTTTAAAGGACAACAAATATAAGACTAAATTTTTTTTCCATGACACTGCACCAAAACTAACATATGGAATAAACTATTGTATTTTTTAAAACTATGCTTAGACAGTTGGACTTTTGGGGTAACATTGGATATTCTAAAATTAGAACACAACAGAGGCTAGCAATATGCTGATTATAAAGCAAATAATGAAAGAAATCAATGCATGAAAACTTCAAAAATACAAAGAAAATAAAAAGACAGAGTGAGGAAGGAGAAAACCTTGTTCTTGTGTTGTGGCCACATCCATGGTAAGAAGAAAAGGTCAAGAAAATGAAAACCCTGCAAGTTGTAGAAAGATAAGAAAGAACAAATATGTTGAAGTCCTGAAACAATCAAATCCAAATCAGAACAATGTATCACCCAATAATTATAGTAAAAATCAATATAAAGCAAGCAAGGTTATAGAGAGAACAAAAGAAATTATATGAAGAGCTTAACATAAAAAATGTAGCACAGAACATTCATGTAAAGGGCATAGCACTTGTTTTGAGCTAGGTAGAAAGTGATTAAATTTATCAATATGCCCTCTATTGCAAAGTCTCTAACAATATGTTATATATATCATATTGGCGAAAAATTAAAAATTCAAAAGGGGCTTCATTGTTGAATAATCGAAGATAGAAGAGNTCGATTTCTTTTTCTCCCGATTAATAATTTAATTATGCCTAGAATTTTCCATCACAAAAAAGTTCAACTTTATACACAAAGGCCCAAGGAAATAATTGGTTGTGATGCATTCCTAACCACAGTTTTGCTCAGAAAAATACGGGGANGACAGAAGAGAGATGAGGGGGAGGCGGAGTGGTGAAGAGAAAAAATAGAGGTGAGGGAAAGGAGAAGAGAGATCAGTGGCATGAAGGAAGAACATTTTTAGGAAGAACATCTAGAGATGGGCGTTAATTTGGGCAGCCAAATATGNAAAATATGAAATAAGAAAAAAAAAAGAGAAAAGAGAACACGAATCCTAGTGTCGGTCAAACAAAGACATCAACTAATTAGAAGAGCAAATAAAGTCTGCAAATCAAAATAATAAAGATCAAAACAAAAATTAAAAAACGTGTACACAGAATGATCATTGGTTATAAACATCCATGTAGGCACAATGCCTTTATGATGAATGGTAGTTCTTAAGTTGCATAACCTCTCCACAATTAGGAAACCCAATAACTAAGAGCCAATTGAAAATCTACAACATAACAGTGATGGTATTTTCATTTTGAGGGCACAAAAAAAAANGAGAGAGAGAGAGAGAGAGATAGGGGATATATGAGAGATAGGAGTCTTGAGTTCTATATAAGATGAAAGAATTATTCAAATTTTTAGGTGGAAAAAAAATTATAAGCATCAATTAGGATCGTTAGATCAACAATTTTAAAATAATCTAAACCGTTTTTTATGTTGGGATTATATTGTCCGTTGGATGTGTTTATGTTTTATCTCAAAACGATCTGGACCTCTCTTTGTCTCTGGATTCAAACTTAGCTCTACTTTATTTTATATATAGAGCAAATGTCATGATCCAGAGATATAGAGCAAATCTCTGGATTCAAACTTATATATATATATATATATATAGAGCAAGAGATATAAATTTTGGTGTCGTACCATCAGTTATTACTTTTTATGAGTAAAATTATAACTTTGAAAAGAAAATTTCGAACTATTCAAGGAAATGTCATGATCGATTACTCACAAATACCCATAATTAGTCATGAAAATCTCGATATCGATCTTAACCTTTCATGATTAATCATACATTTTAATGTTATAACTTAGATGTGAAACTCGATCATACATTGCACACACATTAGCATAATTATGTAGACTAATTGCAATTATGTGAAATTATTTGTTAGATAGAATTTTGTGTATGGAAATAGAATTGAGTTGATTTTGAAATCACTTAAGAATTTGGGGGAGGCAAATAGAATTATTAAGTTTCATGAAATATCTTTATACATGTGTCAAGGCTAAGGTAGTGGGTCATTTGAGAAAAGTCAAGTGCATGTGTGTGTGTGTGTGTCAAGTGTATGTGTGTGTCTTGAAGTGTAGTAAATTGTGTGTGTGTGTACTTTAATATGTAGTAAAGTGAGTATATTTAAAAGACAAACCAGTGTGTGTGTGTGTGTGTTCTGGTGTGTTCAAACTGTGAGTGAGGGAGAGTAAAGGAGAGGAAGAAGAAAGAAAAAAAAAAATTGGGTGACTCCATGTCAAACAAAAAGTAAGAAGAAAACAAGAAGAATGTATGGGTGTATGTGTGTGTGTGTGATTAATTTTAAGTATTTATATATGTGTGGATTTGTTTTAGTGTAATTTCAAAGTATATTTTGGTGAGTTTAAATTAAGTGTATTAAACATAAATAGTGGGCTGTTTTGTATTAAAATAATGGGTTGTTTTATTTTAAGTTCAAAACATATTTTATTAAGGATGTTACACAAAATTAGGAGTTTTTAAGAAGGGGTATTAAATGGGTACTCAACCGAGTGTACGAAAAGTGTAGAAATGACCATTTGAGATGTTCGAGAAACATTTAGTGGACTTGGTTGGAAACAAAAATTTTGGGAATGAAATGAGTGGTTTAAAGGCTCAATTAGGGGCTATTTGACATTGGTTAAATATGTGTGTGAATTTAAGTGTAGTTGTTTTAAAAGAAAAGTATGATAGAAATTGGAAATGGGTGCTGGTAATGCCGAAACTTTGATTTTTAAATATTATTATTACATGAGTGAATTTTAATCTAAATGACCTGAAATTTTGCATGCATCATTTTTAATTGATGTTTGATGTGATAATGTAAATTTCAAATGCAAATGAATATAATATTCAGTGCAAAATATACGAAATGTCAGAAGTGCAATTTTTAGAATTCTGAGTCAAAATGTGTGGAAATGGGCCCCCGTCAATGTGTTTGACCTACTAAATCTTAATTGTGATTAATGTGAGCGACTTTGAAGATTTGAGGAAGAAATATGATCCCTAAATCTAATATGCCAGTATGTAAGTGAATAGTGCGGTAACCGGGGCACTTTGGGTTGAATCATCTTGCATGCATTAGTACATGATTAATTATTCAATGTGACAAACATGTTAATATTGATGTGTTAGGTGGNAGAAACACACGCTCCATCAGAGACTTACAGAAGACGAACCGACTACCGGAGATTACTATTTTCTTTGATTCTCCATTCTCTCTCTCAAAGCTTGTATCTCCANAGAGACGGCTACGAAAATATCGAAAGGATTCACCGACAGAACCGAAGGGCTGTATATCGAAATATTTGAGATGGGTGTATATCTTTATATGTTTTGAAAATGCTATTATAAGATGATGTTAGATGATAGAATTTAATAGCATTTATCCATGATTATGTGCTTATGTGATTGGATGATGCTTTGTATTGTGTATTGTGTATTGTAGAATGTGGCGCACTGTTTGAGACAGGAGCATCGATTCTTGATCACTAGGCGTGCAGTAGTGTGCTAGCACTGTGGTGTTCCCGAGAGATTTGGGAGACACGGATTCATATGGAATTGATTACCCGATGAGAAGTAGTACGGATGTGTTGTGACTTGTGAATGCTTTGTAATTGGATTGATTTTGTTGTTTGATACATGTATTTACATAGTATTTACCTACTTCCGTGTATTACTATCATGTATACTCACTGAACGCGTGGTTTAGCTCACATCCATATAGCTTCTCCTTTTCAGGTACAAGAGAGGGAGACACAGATCAATCCACTATCAAAAGGGTTGAGTTTTGTATAATGATAGTATGATATTCTGTTTGTTATGTAATTAGTTTTAAATGAGCCAATGATACTAGTTGAGAGACTGTATAATTATTAGTTGGGTTGTATATTATGTTAATGTTAGATTATTATAGTAAGTTAATGGTATATATATTTGTAAACAAACTCAACATGCATACTTTGTGATGTATGCTATGTGGGTGTGATATTTTGTATCTGTCTATAACCTTAGAAACAAACAATTGGTACAAGTATTATATATGGTATAGGTTATGAGACAGGTTTACCATCATGCTTATTAACAAAGGTGATGAGTGATATTGTTGCACCTGTGAAAGTAATTAGTGTTTTATTAATCTAGATTATATATATGTAAACAGATGTATCAAAAATTTAGTTGCGTTTTATCTTTGAGAGACCAGGATGGGGCGTGACAATTAAGTTGGTATCAAAGCTAAAGTTTATAGTCTAGTAATCGAGTTGAGTTTAGTATGACAATGGACTTAGGGGTTGGTCTGTTTAGGTGACGTATTAGAGGTCCGTTTGAGTGTGTGGAATATATATTGCGTGCTATCATGATCCATATGCGATACTCACATTTGTTACAGTGATACATGGAGGGAGAAGGGTCTTCTACTTGTGCTGGAGAGAGGGAAAAAAGATCCTAGGTAGAGGAGGAATTAGGTGATCAGAAAGCTAGACAACTATGGGAAACAGCAGCTAAGTGTTTTGAGCAACATACAACGCGAGTGAAAACAATAAGACCCAGGGGTACATTATACGAACAGTTTAAAAAGCTTGATCCACCAATATTCACAGGAACTGCTGGTCCGTTAGAAGTAGAGAATTGGTTATGACACATCGAGAAGATATTCAGGGTGATGGGAGTCGGTGAAGAGGATAAATTGTTGTTGGCCACTTTTATGCTATCAGAGGAGGCCCAGTATTGGTAGGAGGCTATGGAGAGAGCATTGTTGCCAGTATGCACTGAAGGGGAGGCCAGTTTAGTTCCTAGAGTTTCCACATGGCGGCAGTTTACAAATGCTTTTGCTAAGAAATATTTTCCCTCGAGTTATCGATACCAGAAACAGAATGAATTCCTACATCTGCAGCAGAGGAATCAGTCAGTGATGGAATACGAGGGCAAATTTAATACTTTATCCAGATTTATGCTTTCTGTTGTTGCAAATGAGGGGGATAGAAGTAGAAGATTCCAGATGGGGCTAAATTACAATATTAGATCTCGTATTTCAATGTTGGAGTTAACAACATTTTCAGAATTATAGAACAAAGCCCTGATTGTGGAAGCTAATTTGAAGGAAATGGAAAGTGCAAGTGAGCAGGCAAAAAAGAGAAGGTATGAGCCAAGTGGACAGGGTTCGAAGGGAAGCTTCTTTAGCAGAGCCTGGAAGGGAATGCTTCCAAAGGGTGCAAGTAAGAAGAAATCAGGAGTCTCATCCTAGACTCGAGGACAGGGAGTGAGTGGATCATTTTCATTTACACCGAGTCGAGAGATGGGACAGATTTAGGGGAGCACAGTTACTTGTTACCATTATGGACAGGTTGGGCACATTGTACATAACTATCATATGGGAGGATCATGATATGTTATGTCATGGCGCTGTTTTTTAAGTGGACATGAGGGACATATGCAGAGAGATTGTCCGAAGTACTTTACCCAAAGTTCATCGATAGGCAGTACATCTACGGTGTCTAGAGAAGTAATGAGTGGCAGAGGTCGAGGACGAGGAGACAGTACTGGAGGTGGCACTA